TCCCCAAAACCCTCCGCGCCACCAGCCACTGCGGATGTGGATGATGATATCGGGGCGATTGGAGATGGATCTTTCTTAATACCTATCACTAAACCTATAGAGTAATGATGGGGTGCATCACCCTGCTTGTTCTCCTTGCTGCTTAAAACTGGAGTATCCTCAGCTTGCATTGCCTTATTCGTGTCACACTTCGAAACAGACAGTAAAATAAGCCAGCCCTTCTGTTGGTGGCTGTGTCCTTTTCTGTGGGACCTGCCTCGTCCCCGGGCCAATTAGCAAAACACAGATACAAGGGTGAAGAAAGGGGAACAAGCAGAGAGAGGACTGTGCAAGACAGCACACAGAGCTACACCTTTCCCAACTCCTGTCACACCCCTGCTGCTTCTCTAAACGCCCCAGCGCGCTGCTCGCAGCGTCACATCAACGGGTTATGCACCGCAAAGGGGCACAAGTAGCTCAAACTCTTCAGTTCTTCCAGTTGCACTTGAATCACCGGAAGACAAAACACATAAACTTTTTTAAAAATGAGTCTTCAGCTTCGTTTTCTGCTGTTACCTAGAAAGAATACCAGTTGTGCCATTTGCCATTATGAAGCAACAGAGAAATAGAAACACAGGCCCTGATCTTGAAAGCAACGGTGAGATCGGAAGCTCCCTGGTCTGCAGCACGACCTGCAAGCTTTGACGAGGGGGGAAACCTGAGGGGTGTTACCACCTGCAGCTGGATCTCTCAGATACCCACAGCCAAACTCTTTCTGTTGATTCTCCTCCCGCTCCAAAAACACACGTGAAGGGTTCCCTGAGGCACGGCCATACTCTACCGAGCTCCTGGCGTTGCAAAGAGGCGTCATCACTGGTGCTGTCACTGTGAGTGACATTAAATCCCTTTACTGGGAAAGAGGGAGCAGGATCAGCATCACAGCTTCCTGAGAAAACTCATGTAACCCAGCCAGGAGGCAGAAACAAAAGACAAACTTCGGAACCTCTCCTAAATCTGGAAGGATTTAGGAACAGCTCAGCGCAGACACCGACTCCAACGGGTCAATTTGACTTTCATAACCTGTAAAGGACTTGAAGTCCCTGATGCATTCACAGCCTTGTAGTTCTCCTCTGGTTTATTCCTTTAATTTTTCTGTCATCTTATTTATTTTTGACTGCAGTAGCTTCTCTTTTATATAGAGATAAAAGAAGTTTATTAAAGTAGTTTGTTAAAATGTTTCATTCAGCTCTCCCCATCTCTCCCTACATCTATATGAATTAAAGTAATTTATTAATTGCTTTCATTAAGGTTATAATTTTCTTTTATTTCCTGCCAGAAAGATGAAAGCTTTAATAAGCTGCTGGTATATTTAAGGTCAGTTCTTTAAAGGTTTTCAAGTCAAATGTAAATGCTACTGCTGGTGGAAGAGACAGCTGCTTCGACAGAGACACGCTGCTCACTCACTGAATGCTGGACCAGCTTCTTCGTCTCAAAATCTCAACAAATGTGTCTGTGTCTTAAAAAAAATAAAGCTTAAAAGAGTCTAGGAAAGTAGGTCCTTTTAATCTGCACTAATCCCATTGGCACTAATTTGCTTTTAGTCTCCTTGGAAGAGAGACTAGAGCTCACAAGGACCCTTGGGTGCTTCTTGGGCCATTCAGCAAACGGATCGTTTCCAGAGACGTGGCCCGACCCCTCCTTCAAACTTTTGCTCGAGTGCCGAGGGGTAAAACCAGCCGGTGTACGGAGCACAAAGACTTACGTCCGTGGACTGGTCGCCAGCGTAGTGCCATATATCGTCAATCATGCTGGTGAGGAGGGTGAGGCTGGACGGGATGTTACGCGGGAGCAACAGGATGCTCATAGCCTGCAAAGGAGA